GAGAGAGAGAGAGAGAGAGAGATAGATAGATAGATAGATAGATAGCGAGCGAGAGAGATAATGTCAATTAAATATATATAATAATTCTATTTAGCTCTAATTTATTTTTATTTAAATTTTAGTGCTGTAGTACTTCATTTATTTGCAGTTCAACATTTTTAATAATTCTGTTTAGCTCCAATTTATTTTTATTTCAATTTTAGTGCTGTAGTACTTAATTTATTTGCAGTTCAACATTTTAAATAATTCTATATAGCTCTAATTTATTTTCCTTTCAATTTTTTCATCTAACATTAATAATTTATTTTAGCTTCATTTCAGTTACCAACAATTTATTTTCAAATATTATTTTTATTATTGCCTTTTCACACGTACATCATCTCAACCATGGTACATTTTGCCTTGGAATTCCCTGTAAAGTGGATTTGTCATTGTGACGATAGCTAAACTACACAAATGTACAGTAGTTTAGTTACTGAAACTGTATATTAACTAAAACTTAAAAAATGTTTGAATGTCATTACATTATAGACTTTAGGGGCTCATCATCATCAATGTGTTTGTTTAGGGCACACAAAATATTCTCTGAGCTGCAGGACAGAGAAAATGGACCGTACAGCTCCAGGGTGTCCATGGAGAAGATCCACACTCTTCCAGAACTGAAGGTAACAGATAAAGGGCCCTATCATACACCCGGCACAATGCGGCATGTTGCAAGTGGTTTTTGCTAGTTTCAGCCCGACGCAGTTATCATTTTCAAGTCCTGCTGGAGATTGTTTAAATGGCAAATGCATTTGTGCCCATTTGTGCGCTCGTGGGCGTGCTGGTCTGAAAACCAGGTGTGTTCAGGCGCATTGTTGGCTCGTTGCTATTTTGAGGCAGATGAAATAGACTGCGCCATTGACCAACTCAAACCTGGTCTAAAGTCAATGGTGCAATATATATATATTTTTTGTTAATTAAAGAGCGCGTTAGTAATATGCGCCTATAGGCGGGTCCACAACTGCTTAGTACACACACAGAATGAAAGGATTACAATGTAAAAGATTATTATTGTCGATTCCTCGATCCGCTTCGAGCAGATCCGTTTCCTCTCAGTCTTTGCGCTTGCAAATTCAGCTGTGTAAATAGCGAATCCGCCATGGTGCAAGCGCAACTGGCTTTTCGAGGGAATGGGAGATGAGACTCTGATTGGTTAATTGCACGTTATGCCCAAAACACACCCATGACTCATCAAGAGAATAGGTGCAACCCTTTTTAGACCATGCGCCTGGCGCGCCAGCCATTTTTTCCCATGGTTAAACTAGCAAACGTGGATTTGGATACGCCCTAAGTGCACCTGCGCCATGCGCTTAGATCGTTAAAATAGAGCCCGAAGTCTGTACTGCAGTCACAATGCAAAAACCCTAATGTTTCTGCAAAATATCTTCTAATCCTTCCAGATTCAGCCATTCAGCTGTATATATTGTGACTTCTGTAAATATTCTGACTATATTCTGTGTTTTTGATTGGCTGTCACAGTCTAACCCCTTCCGGAAAAGGATATGTCACGTCTTCTCGACCTCTGACATGAAGGATGGCAGCTTGAGCTTTGAGGATTTCCTGGACCTCTTGAGTGCCTTCAGCGATTCGGCGACCCTGGAAATCAAATCCCACTACGCTTTCCGAATCTTTGGTAGTGAATGGATTGTCCTCAATATTGACGTTTAACACAACAGCAATATCAGACAGCATTAGTTATTAACACTTCTTATGCTGCAGACTTTGACGATGACGGGACTCTTGATGCTAGAGACCTGGAGAAGCTGGTGAACTCTCTGACTGGCGAGACGGATGACACCCGTCTGACGGGAGAGGAGATGAGACAGCTCATAAGCAATGTGAGTGTGCTGGATATACATCACATCAATGAGAGACATCTGCCAGATGAACTTTACTAATGTAAACACATGTTATTGTGCAGATCCTGGAGGAGTCAGACATTGATAAGGACGGCACAGTCAATCTCTCAGAATTTCAGCATGTCATCTCCAGATCTCCAGATTTTGTCAGGTGACAGAATTTAGCTTTTTATTTAAAATGTATTTGACACATTTTGCTGCCTTCAGTCTAATTAAGTTTCACTTGTGAATGTTTACTGTACAGTTTAGTTTTTTCATATTATTTATTGAACAGTTGAGGAATGGCGATGAAACTTTACGTGTGTTTATTTTTCATATTAGTTTAAGTAATATTGTTGAATATTATTAGTTTTTATGTTATATTAGTTTTCTATATAGCTTTTAGAAATGTAATTATTAAATTATTGAATTATTTTTATTTCAGTGTTAGTAAGTGTAGTATTTCAACTTGATAGCTTGACAAATTTAGCCGACTAATATATATATATATTTCATTTATTTATAATTTTTATTAATATTTTTAATTAGCTTTTTATATATTCAGTTTATATTTTAGTAATTTTGATGTTTTTGTGATTTCTATTAAATTAAAAAAATATTTCTTTATAACTTTGTTCATTAATGTAACAAATTTAGCCGAATTATGCATGCATATATATATATATATATATATATATATATATACATTTTTTTTTAATATTTTGAATTAGCTTTTTATATTTTCAGTTTTTATTTTATTTTAGTAATTAATTTTATTATTAATTTTCATTAGTTTTACCCTTAGTAATAATAATATAATATAAAATTTTTAGAATATTTATAAATATTTTGAATGAGTTTTTATTTGTTATATTTTCAGTTCTAATTTTAGTTTAGGTTTGAGTAATCCTAAGTGCTTTTGTCATTTTGATTAGTTTTTTAAAATATTTCTATATAGCTTTATTTAATAATTCATCATTATGAGTCATTTTAATTGCAAAGTTTTGCATTTAAGTTTTGATTTGAGTAATTGTAGTACTTCAGGTTATTTAGTAAAGTTAGTTGCCAAGACAACATTTCTAATTTTCATTTAAGTTTTTCATCTAATATTTATGTTTTATTTGGCTTACATGACTAAATTACATTTCCCATCATTCTTTGTTGCAGCACAATAATTATAAAATGCATAAAGCATCAATTATACACCTGAATCACATATTGCACTTTATAATTTTGTGTTAGTGAAAAATTTGAGAGGAGGAAAAAATATGAAATTGCCCAAAATTACAAATTTATTCTGACCAAAATCACATCATAATTACAACTTCCGATCTAATAAGTATGACCTTCCTAAGACTTGAAGGCAGCATTTCTCCTCATTGACTGCGCATGTTCTTTTACAGTTCATTCAAGATTGTGTTGTGAAGTTTACACAGAATGGAAGCTGCTTTCCGGTCCGGATCTTTCACCTGCGCCTTTGATCTGTCAATAATGTAGCGTCCTAATTGTGAATGTATATTCTTACTCGGTATTTCTACCATTTATATATGTTTGAAAACATTTTTACTTAACTCTGTTAAAAAAAAATCTACTTTCTATCCTGTATTTTGGATCATAAATTTGTACCTAATTTAATAAACTCTAATTCTGCAACTTTGACATCCCTGTATTTATAGGACACTCTGAAAGAGTCTATTCCAGTCAGGATGGAGGTTGTTCTTTTGGCACAGCGGACACAAAAGTGTTCCATAACCCACAAACGACATGCATAACACACATTCGATGGCTAGGGAAGTAATCCACCAGTGTTGGCTCATCTGTGCTATTTTCAGTGCCATGTCCCAGCTGTCCGCAATGGCCTAATAATATGACACAGACAGAGAAAATAACAATTACCACACTTTACCTTTTAACAGTTTGGGCTCAGTATAATTTTTTTAAAGAAAGAAATGAAAGGAATAGGTCACCCAAATTTGCTGAAGATTTACTCACTCTCAGGCCATCCAAGGTGAACATGATTTTGTTTCTTCATGGGAACAGGTTTGGAGAAATGTAGCATTACATCACTTGCTCACCAATGGATGTGAATGGGTGCCGTCAGAATGAGAGACCAAACAGCTGATAAAAACATCACAATAATCCACACCACTCCAGTCCATCAGTTAACATCTTGTAAAACTGTGTTTGAAAGAAACAAATACTCATCATTAACATGTTTCTTTCAGCTAAAATATGGGCCCATAATCCATCAATTTTCTTTCTCCAGTGAAAAAAACATCTCATCTGAATCAGGAGAGAAATCTGCTCAGATCAAGCACAGTTTAAAAGTAGATCTAAACGAACATGTCGGTAGATTTTGATGTGAGAGGATTTCACTGGATTATTTGTGGATTATTGTGATGTTTTTATCAGCTGTTTGGACTCTCATTCTGACGGCACCCATTCACTGCAGAGCATCCATTGGTGAACAAGAGATGGAATGCTACATTTCTCCAAATCTGACGAAGAAAAAAAACTCATCTGGCCTAAGGGTGAGTACATTTTCAGCAAACTTTCATTTTTGAATGACCTATTCCTTTAATGCACTTATTCAGCAAAGTCACAAATGCATGAGAGACTATTTACATTGATTTATTTCTAGAAAACGAAGCAAACTCTTACCCCATCCCCAGGTGTACAGATCCCCTGTACCTATACAAATAAAAAAAGAATAAGTTAATTTAATAATTTTTTTTGTCAACTAGCGGATTCTTGAGTTGAGTCCAGTTTATGCTGCAGTGATCAGATCTGGATCTCACCGGTGCCGGCCGCTGTATGACGGGATCCACAGCTGATCCTGCTGATCTCTGACACATTAGGGATGTCCACTAGAGCTGGCAACGCTTGAATAGAAATAAACACATCCGCTTCCTTTTTTTCATCTTCATTTATGGGCTGCTCAGTTTTTCCTGCACAGTAACGGAACCATGTAGCTGTGTAGTAATACATTCATATGTAAAGTCATATATGTGACCCTGGAGCACAAAAGCAGTGTTAAATCGCTGGGGTATATTTGTAGCAATAGCCAACAATACATTGTATGGGTCAAAATTATAGATTTTTCTTTTATGCCAAAAATCATTAGGATATTAAGTAAAGATCATGTTCCATGAAGATATTCTGTAAATTTCCTACCGTAAATATATCAAAACTTAATTTTTGATTAGTAATATGCATTGCTAAGAACTTCATTTGGACAACTTTAAAGCTGATTTTCTCAATATTTAGATTTTTTTTGCACCCTCAGATTCCAGATTTTCAAATAGTTGTATCTCAGCCAAATATTGTCCTATCCTAACAAACCATACATCAATGGAAAGATTATTTATTCAGCTTCCAGATGCTGCATACATCTCAATTTCCAAAAATTGACCCTTATGACTGGTTTTGTAGTCATTTTACCACTGCTTTTTCCTCCGAGCTTTTCCTCCTCCAAGCCTCTAGATAGCAGACCGAGCTGCCCGCTTTCATTCCATCCCCACATATACAGGTCCCCACCAGCTAAACACAATAAACATATTTTAAATGAACACTCTGTATATTAGTATGAGCAACCAAATGGCTGAATTTGATCACGAAAGTTTCAGGAAAAAGCTTACCGCTGACGGAAGCGGAGTGCCAGCTCCCAGCAGACACTGCTCTGATCGGGACGCCCCACAGCGCCTCCACTACCTGAGGTTCCTCCTGTGAGGCCAGAGCTCCGTGACCCAGCTGACCATGACTGACAAAACAAAACATCCACTTAAAAACACTCTTCAGTTCTAGTTTACAGAAAATATTATTGTAATGCAATGAATTTTCACAATAAGCATAAATTAGAGGCAGGACAAAAAATACTGCCATGATGATAAATATAAATGCTTTACAATTTAAATAATAAAATATATTAATAATAATAATTATACATATATATATATATATACATACACACATACTGTTTTGCATTACAACAATAGTTATTTTAGTATTTATACACATAGTATTTATACATTTTTTTAAATATTGCTTTTATTTTTATATTTTCAGTTTTCATTTTAATTTCCAGTAGTTTTAGTAATTTTGTTATGTGCGTTTGCCATTTGTATTAAATATTTTTATTTAGCTTTCATTTATTTATTTTCAGTTTTATGTGCTTTTGTCATTTTTATTCAATATTTCTATTTAACTTTATTAAATTTTTATTTCAGTTTTAATTTTCGTAACTGTAGTACTTTAACGTAAACATATTTTATTTCAGTCAGTTGCAATGCCAAATTTGTTATTTTCTGTTTACGTTTTTTTTCATCTTCACAATTTATTTGATTTTTAATAACTGAAAATGATTTTTAATAGTTTTAGGCTACAATAACAACACTGTTACAGTAATGAGAATCTCTAATAAAATATGCTTAATTGTCATTAAAACAAATGTAAAAATAAGCTTAATTTTCTTATTTATAATCTGAAATATCACCTGCTATTGACAGGTTTTGTGAGACTGCACATTAGCTCTACAATTAATATAATATTATTTGTGGTAACACTTTAAGGTCTAACTACAACTAACATTAACAAACAATGAGCACTACATCTGTTACAGCATTTATTAATCTTTGTAAATACTGGTTCATGAAAATAACATTTTTAGATCATGCCAGCTCTGTTAAATAACATTAAAAGACACAACTTTTGATTTTAAGATTGTATTAGTAAATACCGAAATGAACCAAGGCTAATAAATATTTTAATTGATTTATGTTAACTAATACTTTTTGTAAATGTAATATAGATATATATAATGCATGTGTTAAAACAAATGCAGTATAGTTAACTAATGTTAACAAATGGAACCTTATTGTAAAGTGTTACCCAATTTTTAATTACAAGATTAACACTGGAATCTTTCTTGTACTCCAGGAGTACACAGTCCCATCCGACGCCAGCAGCACAGCGTGTTCAGAGCCCAACGCCAGGCTCACGGCACAGAGTTTAGAGCAGAGAGGATGGAAAAAAGGAGGTTTTTGCATGATGTACCCACCTGACACTAGCGGCAGCACTACAGCATGTCCTGAATAAATGCATCATATCAATATCATCATACTAGCAACAGATGGACTTTCAAAACATGATCAGGACTATGCACAAAAAGTCATCAGTATGCTACCGGTATCGTCTTGCTCTCTCTTCCACACAAGCTTGTTTTGTGGGTGCTGGATTTCTGTGAAGTTGAGCGTCAGGTGTCTTTCACTGATGAGTGCGTCTGTGCAGCCCTGACTCTGTGGAAAAACTCCTCCGCAAACCTCTTCTGATGAACCAGACACGAACCCGGACACACACACATGATTGCCACCTGAAACCAACATTTACATAGAAAATAACTCATGGGATACATCTAACGTGAACAAAGGATAGGATAAAAAAATGTACGTGAGTGATATGCACAAAACAAAATCAGTATAAATAAATATATTTAAAAAACAGTCAAAATGTATATTGTTTGTCAAATTAAACTAAATGTATAGTTTATTATTTTTATATTGTAAATTGTATTTTTTTGTATTAGTTCACTATACATTAGAAAAAGTAAACTTGACATTGAAAACAATAAAAGAAAACAAATTTGAAAACAATAAAAGAAAACAATAAAAAATCTATTTAAGAAATAATTTTGTTACTCATAATTATCTGTGTGTGCATATATATATATATATATATATATATAATGTGAGCGAACAATATAAATAAATACATATATTTTATACTATATATTTGAGTGCGTGTGTGTGACTAATATTGTAGAAAAAATACAAATTAATGTAAAATAATTACATTTAAAGATTAATTTTGTTACTCGTAATTACATATATAATGTTAGCAAAGAATATGAATAAAACTGTATGAGTAATATATATATATATATATATATATTAGTGCTGTCAACGATTAATCGCGATTAATCACATCCAAAATAAAATGTTTGATTACATAATATATGTGTTTGTACTGTGTTTATTTATTATGTATATATAAATACACACACAAAAAACTTAAATAAACAGAAACTTTTATTTTGGATGCGATTAATCGCGATTAATCGTTTGACAGCACTAATATATCTATATACCGGTATATAATGTAAATTTATTTTATTATAAATTATTATAATTTTATTATAGAAACAGTAATACATAAATCATGTGTAAAAGGTGACTAATATTGTACAAACTATTGTACAAATATTGTATGTAAATTTAAAGTTATTGTATTATTTTATTATATTTCATAATGTAAAGCAAAGAATATGAAAAAATGTATGTCAGTAATATGCACGAAACAAAATCTCTCTCTCTCTCTCTCTCTCTATATATATATATATAATGCAAATTTTAAAAAGTTATTTTATTATAGATTAGAAACAGTGAATGTTACTAATATTGTACAAGTTATGTACATTTTAAGTTAATTAATTTGATTACATTATAGATCAGAAATAGTAAGATTAGTAATGTGAGTAATATTGTAGAAAAACATACTTAAGTGAATGATTTGGTTACTCATGGTTTACTTACAGTCTGTATGATGCACATCAGCTCTGGAGCTCCAGCTGGCTCTGACTCGGACTCTACTGCAGTCTGATCTGC